AATTTTGGTTTTTGAGTTTTTGGTGAAATTTGGCAGTGTGGCACAGTAAATGGTGGTTATAGACTTCGCGCACCATAGTTTTTTAGTAATATTAATGATAATGGTGTAGCAGTGTAATATTCCGCAAAGCAAGATGAAATATAACAAATTTTAGAAAAGAATAAATTAATTTGTTATTAACCACCCAACAAATCTTCTTGATAGTGGAAAAAGTTACACGTAAAAATGGCATAAATGGTGGGGGATAAATCAGTTAAACCACTGGGATAATACAAGTTTAAGCTCAATTTTACAAAGTAAAATTGAACTTATACCCGTACTACCCAGGGTTTAACTATTAATTATATTCAGGGATCATCCAAACCAGGGCTGGAAATAGGATCTGAAAAAAAAAATGGAAATTCCTCCTGAACGCTAATAGTATGGTATGATGAAAAGCAAGAAATCGTCATTCCGAAAAGAATACAAAAATTCAAGAGTTTATAAAACGAAATCTCAAAGCTTTGATCTTTTATAATCAATAAATTTATAATGTGTATAATTCAATTGTAATCCTAAATTTTCATATAATTAGAACCATGTAATACAATACCTGTTGTACATGTGACTTTTACATATACACCCAATATACACGTGAAAGTTTATTTTTTTCATAAACGCCTAACTATACCTACATGCTAAATATATCTATTCGAAATAATATTTATTACTATGAGATTACGAAATATTGTAAATTCATTAAGTGTATTAAAATGTTTATCATATTTGCTGTTCGCTTTTTCTGTGGTGTCATAACACAGTTAGGAACAATGGTCAAATCTTTTTGCTTACGGGCACCAGCTTCTTGCAAATCTTCCAACAAATCATCATCACATGTTTTTTCAACAACATTAATCGTTTTACGGATGATTATCTAAGGTTTTGAAAAATGATCAAATATTAAATAATTTTCTACAATTAATATGATAACAGAAGTATTAATACTAACCTTAGCTTTCCATGCCAAAACCAAACATTTAAGAGCCTTTTCAAATCGGTTAATATTGGTTGGTACTTGTAAGGTATCCGACCTTGTAACTCTGCAAGTATATCCGGCAGGAACATCCATGCGCAATAAAATCATATAGAGACCTGCATAAAAGCATTGTTAATATTTCGTGGCAAAATTTACCAAGATCATATCTAACTAAAAAAAATACCTACCAGCATGAATGAAGCTAATTAGCTCAAATTGACGCAATGTATTTGTTTTCCATTCTACAAAATTGCCCAAGTCTACTATCATATCTTTAAGCATTTTTGGACTTTTTAACCCCCTTTCTTTAAGCAGTTTTGTTCCATTGTCTCCTTCATAATCCTTTCCTACTTCAGAAGCTACATATTCATGTGATCCTTTTCTTAAAGTTAAATCACCTTTTCTTCTAATTGCTTTTCTAGTTGTCTTAACAACTCCTTGAATTACCCGCTTACTATTTTTGCGTTTTGAAGAAGCAATGCTAAATGATTCACCTCTTGCAATATCTACTCCTCTCAATTCGTTAAAACATCTATCGATAAATGACCATATATGAACATTATGCCATGCCTCCAAATGTTTTTGTTGCAATGTATCGGATTCAAATTCTAATAACAAATTGTATATACCAGGGTTGGCAAATTGACTGGTCCATTGAGAACAGATGAATTTTGGACTGGTCCATTGCCATTAATAAAATACGAAATATGGTTAAAGTGTTACACTAATGGACCCAATGGACCACCAATAAACCATCAATGGACCGCACATTTGCCAATCCTGGTATATACTATTCTTCACCCAGTCAAAATCAAAATGTTTTATTCTATCGAAATTTCCGCCTTCCCAATCTTGTCGTACATCAAGTGCTATGTGCAAATCTTTCGTTGTTTTCATTCGGAAGGAGCTAATATATTTTAATAATTCATTTGGCATTTCTGGAAGGTCTTTTGCTTCTGTATTACAGATTTCTTTCAGTTCTTCGGAGGTAAAAATATTGTTTTTAATATAAGATTCATCATCAGGATCAATAATGAATGAATGTGCAAGGCTGGAAAAAAATATTAATGAAAGTGGATCACACGGTCAAAATCAGAAATTTCATTACAACAAATACATGTATATCTTCACATACTGGTCAAACCGCCATTGATTTCCGAAAGCATATAACGCATCTTCAACACATTTCCCTGATGTCAAATACCATTTTTTCTCATTTTTCATTCCTCTATATGAATCTTTAAATTCAGATATACTCGATTCACTCATTTCTCTACTTTCATCATCTTCATAAAAATCATTATCCTCATCGGAACATGTAGATTTATACTTTATTGTGTCATACAATTTCCTAAGTTTCTTGGTGAACCGATTCAGTTCTTGTTCATTGGGACTCAACATGAATTCATTGATTTTGTCATTTAAATCCTACAGAGATGAAAAGTTAAATCATAGTTATGCCATAAAAAATTATATCAGCAGTAGCATCATCAGGAAATTTTTCTGACGTGGATTTACGTAAGTTTATGGCGGGCCCGTAATATTATGCAAATAAGCACACAAAAATTATGCAATTATTACATCGAGTGTAAATATTACATAATTTTTATGCAAATATTACAACTTTACATATTAAAATTTACGGACTTAATATTGCGGCGGGGAAAATTTCTTGATGATTAAATAACTACTGATTTTCTCCGACCTTTGAACTTTGTCTTTGTCCGCATTTAGTATGTGAAATATTTGTTGCACCACTTCCATTTGATGTTATTCCGTTATTCAAATAGTCTCCATCCGCCAATTTCGAGCACAAATACGATCTGGCCGAGAACCCTGGCATGTAAAATTGTAAGTTAGCAATATCCTTTATTTTATAAATCACTTCCTATTTCTATCCCACCAGGTCGACCTTGAGCCTTGAACGCAAGACAATCCTCGAGATTGCCCCCGCCCCAGTGGGGTTAGTGTTAGGTCGACCTTGAGCCTTGAACGTAAGACAATCCTCGAGATTGTCCCCGCCCCAACACTAACTTCGTAGCTTGCCCTCGAGGTTCCGCACACGCTACCAAATTCTCTATATTTTTAACTAAAAAAAATACATTCACCTCTCTATATCTTGCAAGCAACTCCTTTGCTTTATTGCCCCTTTGTCCTTTATTGGCATCAGCTATTATTTAGAGTGATTTAATGTAAACGCTTATTTTATCACCCAAGTCTTCAAGTTCACATTCCTGTAGGAAGTCTGTAATATCCCACTCAGAGTACCTCCGATTAAAATATTGATGTATCACTTTAGACATGGTTAAAGCTTAAAAAAGCGTGCACAAGTAAAAAATTTTTTAAAGAGACGCGTGAGATACTGCTGATCAATATTCAGAGTCGTAAAAAGTCAGCACCAGATCGTGATCACAATATAAAAGTGCGAACGATCAATTGATCTTTAAAGAAAAAAAAATTGCGTAATACCAGTCACAAGACATGTCACGATCAATAGGGAGTTGTAAAACATAGTAAATTTTTGACGATCTGCATCATAGTAAAATTTTACAATCAAGTGACTTCTAATCCCCATTTAATACCCTTGCTGTGTAGCAACCACCTCCAAATTTGAGATATAACTTCTTTATCATATTTATCTGCTTTAAAAATTTTTTTAAAGCAGGTTGTTAATAAAACCGAAAATAATCTGACCCTCAAAGTCAAATTTTGCCTTTATATTCATATATGTAAAATTTTGTTGACGCGTCCAATCGCAAGTAATAAGTAGAAGTAAATGTCCAAATATTACATTATTATGAATATTTGATCACTTAGGTATGTCTTTTATAGTAAAATCATTTATTTTAAAAGTAATATAATAAATAAATAGATTTTAAAATTTTTCTTTACCTATATACATAAATAATGATTAGAATAATAAACAAGCAACAATGATGATTAAATCAAAAGGTGTTTTACCTCTGACTTTATTCATTGAATTATTATTTATCATAGTGATGTTATTAAATATAAAAGAGAAATTTATATACATAAATAATAATAAATATAACTATCGAATAATTGATAAAACGTTTATTTTTGTAAAACATGCTTCGCAAGCTTAATAGATTTTGTCCTTAATGCTTACTTCGATCACTTCTATACAGACTATTGAATAATTAATAAAATGTTCATTAGAACATTTTGTTCATAGATCCTGTCCTTAAAGCTTATTTCGATTACTCCTACACTACTATTGAATAATTGATAAAATGTTTGTTAGAATATTTTGTTCACAGATCTTATACAGACTATTGAATAATTAATAAACGTTTGTTAGTATATTTGTTCATAGATCTTGTCCTTAATGCTTACTTTGATCACTCCTATACAAACTATTGAATAATTAATAAAACGTTTTTTATTATATTTTGTTCATAGATCTTGTCCTTGATGCTTACTTCAATTACTCCTACACAAACTATTGAATAATTAATAAAATGTTTGTTATTATATTTTGTTCATAGATCTTGTCCTTAAAACTTACTTCGATCACTCCTACACAAACTATTGAATAATTAATAAAACATTCGTTATTATATTTTGTTCATAGATTTTGTCCTTAATGCCTACTTCGATCACCCCTACACAAACTATTGAATAATTGATAGAACGTTTGTTAGTATAGATCTTGTCCTTAACATTCACTTCGAACTTCTACACAAACCGGATCTTAATCTCTATTATCATCCTCAAAAAATGATGATTCATTATCATCGTTTGCTATTTATTGCTACTAATATTATTGTTTAATGTTGCTATAACAACTACTGATTGATGATATTCATAATAATCATTAATGAAACTTTGATCAATATAAAACAATCACTAATAAAATACCTTTTAGTTTTTGTTGATACTCCCCATAAAGTAATGACCATATGAAAGCTTAAAGTATTCTACACCTTCTCATTTACTATCAAGTCTTTTAAAGCAATATTGAGAAATAATCTGAG